GGGGCATCTTCTTCTCAGGGAGCCTCACCTGCCTCCTGGGGAGCAGCTGGAGGATTTGAACCACTGACCTACTAGTTGGCAGCCCTACACGGTCGAGTTTTAAAAGGATGTGCGGACATGAATGAGGCGTTCATCAGCAGAGCTGTCTGGCCGTCGTCAGCAACAGTCTGAAACTGGGAGAGTGGTCTGGCTCAGGAGTCAAGACCCGTTTGCCCGCTTTTCACGGGCCTGAGGTCAACGAAGCCCCAGACCCCAGGCCGGGTCGGACCAGACCTGACCGTCGCTGGGCCTGAGGCTGGCCAAGCAGGTGGATCAAAGGGACACACAGCAGAAGATCTTTGGTGTAAGGGGATGCCTGCTATTGGGGTCCCAGCACCACCCCGTCCATCGGCCTCCTTTACAACTCCGCCCAGTGGGCCACTATCATTCCGGCAGTGGCCTGTGTTCCCAGAGTAGCCAGCCTGGAGCCAAGCCCTTCCCTGTTACCTTCAGAAAACTCCATGGCTCCCGCAAACACCAGGGCTGCAAACTCCCCCACGCTGAAGCCGGCAGCAGCCACGCAGTTCTCGATGACCTGTGGCAACAGAGCAGGAGGTGAGGCCGAGATGGCTGCAATGCGCGAAATCCGGACTCAGAACTGGGAGGGGCCGGGGACTCAGTGTGCAGGTCAGCTGGCAGGGGCTCCAGCTGGACGGGACACACAGACAGTGGCTTCCACGATCACCCAGTCCTTTCCCAGCAGGGCAAGGGCAGATAGCACCCCTGGACCACTGATGCTTCAGCCCGGCCTCGCCTTCACCTGGAGCTGACCCCGGGCCCACCCACTGCAATTTCAAACGTAAGCCATCTCAATCCTTCTCTGCCCTCCCAATGTAAAGTCACATCCCTGCTGCCAGTCTCACACCCGGCTGTCCCCCTCCTTTCCTGTACGCCTTTACCGTTAAGGACCCGTGGGTGAGGCCTCAGTGCTAACTTCAAGGGGTGCCTTTAGAACCTACCAGCCACTCCCCAAGACCAAGACGAGGCTGGCTGCTCCCTTAAAGATTTAATTACAGCCTCGGAGACCCTATATGGGTCGCTATGCGTTGGAATCGGCCAGGTGGCAGTGGGTGGGTGGCACCTTGAACCACCTCACTTACAGAGCAGATGCGTGACTGTCTGTGCCCCTGTGCTAGGCTGCAAGCTTCCGCAGGGCAGGGGCCCGCGTTTACTTCTCAGCCGGGCCGGGCACCGGGTGGGCGCGCGGTAAGAAGCAGCGAGCGGCTGGGTGCCGGGGCGCCTCGGGGCTCACC